TCAAAGCTGCAGACCGCCACTGGGATCCTAAAGTCTATGAGAGAGTGCCATAGGGGAACACAGGCAAGACGCATGTGCTTTCTGCAAAGGTGTCAGCTGTTGAGCTGGTTTACTGAGATATGGCTTGGGGCTGGGCATTAATAATTAATTTATTCTGATGTGAAAGTGTAATTAAATACAAATCAAAGGCTTGCAATCAGGTTAATGTATTGTTAAAACAATATTTTTATTGTATCCTCAATGTCTGTCAATGTTCCTGAACCTTAATTATAGATCAGTTACATCTGGCAGATTGGAAATTAACTGGTTCCTTGGAAAATGTAGCACACAGCAGTTAATTACCTTTGATAGACACTAAGTCCTGCCCCCGGATGAAATGCCAAACATTTAGGAAATCCTACAAGTTTAAATCAGGATGCCCATTATGACCTGTGATCAAATGTAAACATGAGGTAGTAAAACACAGGAGAATGCACAAGAAACACACATGAAGGAAGAAACATGACAAAAAAGAGAGAGGGGAACATAGAAGAAGAAAGGATCTAATCCCAGAGAAATATGGCCCTCTGGTGCTCTTCTAATGTGATAAGATCTTCTGCACACATCACTTTAGAGTGTGCTTGTGGTTGGACTGGACTGTAAGAGATGTAGTCAGACTTTGTCCTATAAATGCATTTTGTATTAACTGTGGTGCTCTGGATTAATACAGTATTTATTTTGAAGTCAATTCAAAACTTCACAAACTTCACAAACTTCTTTATTAATAATGAATATTGTTGAAGCAAAAATAGGGGGAACCAAAGAAGAGTGATCAGTCTGGCTGTAATCCAGTCCTTATCTAGTTTTGACATGGTCTGAAACAGCGGTGGCTTTAATGTGTGGTGTAAAGTCAAGTGTGACGTAAGTGAAGGTGTTTTATCAGCCAGTACAGAGCCATCAGCCCTCGCGACCATCTTAAACTCTTGTGTACGCCGCGTGCAAACTATGTCTCGTACTCTGTAGCACATTTATATTCTTGTTCAAGACAAGCGAGGAGCCAAGGGGACCTTGATGTTCCCAGAACAAGTTGAGCATTTGCACCACATAAAGTGGCTTTGCAGCCGGTAAATGAGGAGCCGCAGACATTTGAAAATTGCCTGGCCTCTCTTTCTCGCACGTAAAACGCACTCTGTCACCTCATTTTTCAGCCAATCTCTTTGTATGTCCTGTGCTCTTTCTGAGCGTCTTCCTTCTCAAAATGATTCCTCTTTCTCGGATCGGTTCCACACTTTCATTCTCCTCTTTCCACCTCTCATTTAAAGTGTTTTATTCACATGTACAGGACAATCAGCTTGCCCTTTGTGGCTTTGGGGAGAGCGTGTAGACGCCCACTAGCCACTCATGGACACAATGTCTGGATAAAATAAACCTGGTGGCTTTCACCTGTAAGTAATAGCTTTCTATATAGTTTTAGTCAGGCCTAGACTCGATTCTCTCTTTACACCATCAGGGAGCTTGGCAAAGTCACCAGGACTCTGTGGTCATCACTGTGCTGCAGTATGTTTTTTCATTATTTTTTAACTCATATTGATTGATTTCCATTTTATATACATTTTCCAGATAAAACAACATAACATCTTTAGAGAGTCTTGTAAGTGTAGATTGTTGACTGTAGTGAGCTTTTGCAGCTCCTGTGATCAGCCTGCATGTCTTAGTCTTCATTTATTTGATGCTGGTTTCTCTTTTCCATCTCCGCTGCCTTTCCGTTACCCAGGCCTTGATTAACAGCACCTTTAGCACGAGTAGTTTCTCAGTCACGCCTAAACAAGCTCATTAATATTAACCTACTTATTTATGGCACTGCTCCAAAATACCCTTCACAAAATAATATAGTGCTTTTTACAAGTCAATACAATTACATGAAACTGCTGTGCGTGTTGGAAGAAAAGCAATGGGTGAAAAGTGAAGCCATCACAGTGAAAATGTGTTAAGAATAAAACAAGTGTGTTGAATTCATTTGTATACAGCCATCTGTTCATGTCATTTACAGAGCAAACCTTTCCCATAGGTCTCCATATGACATACCCTACACTATACACAGTCTTTTTCAGAGTTTAGTGGCAGTAGATTCAAGTCACTTGAGGTTTAATTATAAGTATTTGCAGTGAAAACTCCAGTGTCTTATTATTAGCGCTGAACATACCATTAAATAATGTGTACATTTTGCCACTGTTTACAGTGAAAGTCTAATATTGAGTAATGTTTGTGTAAGACTGGCAAAATTTTTATCTCTCTCTCTTGATCTCATTATAACTATTTATTGTGAGCTTTTTATTGTGATTGTTGTTATTTTACTATCCTCCAACCACACATAACAATACACTTTTCTCTTGAAGGCTTAACATTTAAATGAGGCCTAAATAATACTTACTTTGTACATCTTTGCCTGTCACACTATGCGCTTGTAATCACAATCACATCTTTTAGTTCCCTTAATAATTCTTGACAAAATCACAGGTGAATGATGCGAGCTTCAATAGCACTAACCTACAGCTTTGTGGGAAAGCAAACCTCTAAAACCAGTTATGGATGACTCATCCTGACAGGTTTCTTGCCTAAACCTCAATAATGTGCTCCTGGGAGGAAATAGGGGCCTTTTGTCCTTAGAAGGGTAGCCTCATTTTTCACTGTAAGGGGCTAGTGCACAGGTTTAGATTGGTCTTGGTCCCTATGTGAAACCAGAGCTATTGTGGGGCAGGGCTGAGTTTGAGCAGGCAGGCGGAGGCAGCAGCAGCAGCAGCAGTGAGGCGGTGGAGTGACAGACAGACAGCTGCCTGTGTGATTAATGAGCTCACCTTTGAATGCAATATGTTCCAAGAGAGTGATGGGACAGTTTAGAGAAGCTAAAATATGAATGAAGATCCAATAAATGTATCATAAAATCTTTATAAAAAATAACATCTAAAATGTGTATATTTTTTTACTGTGCCCATGTTTGTTTGGGTTTTTTTTATCATTTGATAACAATGTTTTGGTCTGTTTTATTTGACAGGACATCTGCAAGCAAAATTTAGAGTTGGAAATTGGTTGGCAACACTGTGGATGGCATAGAGGCCAGCGTGTGGCCATGTGCATTAGCCTAAACATTTTGACATATCATTCACATAACTTCATTTTTACAACATTACATTGCCATCTATGAAATAGTAAAAACACTGTCTGCCTTATCTGATTCCTTTCCATCCATCCATCCATTTTCTTCCACTTATCCGGGGCTGGACTTCCTTCACCCTTCCACACTTCTTCCAGCTCCTCTAGGGGCACCCCAAAGTGTTCCTCAGCCTGTCTAGTCCCTCCAGTGTGTCCTGGGTCTTCTCCGGAGCCTCCTTTCGGTGGGACATGCCCGGAACACTTCCCAGGAGGCATCCGGAACAGATGCCTGAGCCACCTTAGCTGGCTCCTCTCGACATGGAGGAGCAGCGGCTCTACTCCAAGCTCCTCCCAGATGGCTGAGCTCCTCACCCTATCTCGCCCAGCCATCCTGCGGGCGAAATTCATTTCAACTGCTTGTATCAGCAATCTTGTCCTTTCAGTCATTACCAAAAGCTCATGACCATAGGTGAGGGTAGGAACGTAGATTGAGCAATAAATTGAAAGCTTTGCCTTTTGACTCAGCTCCCTCTTCACCACCTGCCTCAAGTGGAGGAGTTCAAGTATCTGGGGGTCTTATTTCATTACATGTTGACTTTTTCTATATTCACATAATTAGTTATCAATATGCTCTGACTCAGAATTCAATGCATGTGTACAAGTAACTCAAGGATGCTTTTTGTGAATGTACAGACTTAAGTTGATGTATAGACTATTTAAAGAAGTTGAATAAGGGAATGTGGTGTCACCCATAGTGTTCAGCTCCAGTCAAATGGTGCTTGTGATGCTAGGAATAGGAGATATTTATTTTAGACTTTATTAAATGACAAAATGGTGACACAAACACCAGGATCATGCAGAGTGGGTTAATACAAACATTTTAAGACCAAAATCATTAAGCTGACTGCAACAGTTACAGAGAGAGGGGCAACAATTTCTTAATGTAAACTCAGTTGGGGACAGACTCGCTGAAAACTGGAAGCACTTACATGAACACGTCCTATTTGGAACGTGGCAGCTGCGGGTTAGTTATGTCCATTTATATATAATACAGTCTATAAATTGATCAGTAAAATGTGTTTGTCCAGTATTATGTAGCTTTAGAAACTACAAACAAAGCAAAAGTCATAATACTCGCTGCTGGTTGTCCATTTCCAGGATTTTAGGCTTGTGTGGTAACAGCCCTGTATCTCGCCTGCAGCTGGCCCTTGGTCGGCCCTGGGGTCTCCACAGAGAGGCTCTTAAGGGCGACTTTATCAGGTGCTCAGCTGCAAGTCTTCAGTGTAAAAAGGAACATGATCAGAAGCACAAGAGCTCTCAATGCACAGTGAAGTGGGAAATATGACCACTACAGGCATCCATGTTAGAATCTCATAAGAGTTTGTTAGGCTCTTTGACAACAAACTATATGCCTCTGTATACTACCATAACCTCCTCCTAACCAATAAAACTGGTCAATGTGTTTTGTTCTGAGAAACCTGGACTTTTCTTATGCTGTGTTCATAGACCACTCTAAATGAGAAGTTTTTAGTTTTTTTTTTTTTTCATTTCTTCTTGTGTCTTTATGTTGAAACATCCATAGTCTCTGAAGTTTAAATGTGTACGTCAAGTTTATTCCATGATTTATTGTTGTTGTTTTTTTTTAGCACAAACACTTGAGCAGTACAGTAAACTCGCTTACTGTCCTATTCTAGACTTTGGCATTGCATTTTCTACAACAGTGGACTGCGGCTGGCTCTGACCTCTGCTTCACTTTCTCTAAAGCTTCAACCTCATCTGAGTTTGTGACACAAGTTTCCCATTTCCCAAGGGCATTGCTCTGTTGTGTAGTTGCACTGTCAGCTGTAATTAGTTAGTATTCATTGCTACAGATGCAGAGGCTCTGAAAGAGGACCTCCTCCTGTCCCCAAAGGCCTTTAAATCAGCCCTATTTTGCCCAGAGGTGCTTGGTATGAGGTCAGTGCTTTTGTCCTTGGCAGTGCTGTGGAGATTGAGTCCAAGTATTGCTGTAACTGACACTGGTTATCTGTGTTCAGCATCTCCGCTTGCAGCTGGTAAATCCTCCCCTGCAGCTCCCTCTGCCTCACAGCCATACCGCCATACCCACCGCTCTGCACCCTCGCACCCCCTCCTGCCCCTCTCGCCCCCTCCCGCTGTGTCTCCTGAGAGGCTGTATTCATTACCAGTATTTCTGCTGCTCTGTAGCTGGACCTGACCTCACTCAGACTCTCCCCAGGCTGTTGTTCCAGCCACATAATGGACAGCGGACAGGCACATATAAAACCAGCACTCTGTGATTTTGTCTGACATGAAACTACACTTTAAAACCATTTGTCAAACATGTAAAATGAATGGACTAATAAGTTATACACAGTTTGATAATGCAGTATAACTCTTCAGACAGTGATTTTGATAGCAATAAAAATCTTCAAAATTCATAGAAATAGTTTACAAATGTATGTAATTATCAGCATTGCAATTGTGTCCAGTAGCATGGCACCTAATACACAGTTGAGTTTTGTGTCTTTTTACATCAAAACAAAAACTAAATCTTTTCTTTAAAGAATTTGATTGAAATTTTAAAAAAAAATGCATTGTCAGTTGCTCTTGACTTTTCCAAAACTATTTCTTACAAATCCTTGTCCTGTCACATCTCCACAGACATCTTATGGAGATTTCCTGTCAACATGTTTGGCAGATAGATATTTTTCAATATTTTATATGGCAGCATCAACATTGCTTTGGTGTGTCTCTGCTCTAGGGAATTTTTAGCATGCAGTGTGGGAAGGGAACCCAGATGTCCATATTGTTGGATTTGGCTTTACAATTTTTCTTCTGCCGTTTTCGTGTTACAATGCATCAGAATAATTGTCTGTCTTTGTAAACAGAATATATTTTGGGTTTTGTTGGCGTACAATTGCTGTACTATTCTTGAATTTTAAAATGTTCCATCACAATACTGTATTATTTTTTTCCCACAACATTGAAAAAAAAACTCGACGGCCAAGATCTTAACCACCTTGATGATGTCCATTAAGGTAGCGGCATTTCCCTGTATAACAGCCTTGGCTTGTCGTAAGTGTATGTTTTAGCCCATAGTGGTGTAAGCCAGGTGGTGTTGTAGCACGGCGATAAAGTGAGCATCTGTCTGTAAAACGCCTTGGGAAATGTGCCAGTCTGGTTGGGCTGCACCTTTTCTTCTCCCCCAATGCATGCTGGGATAGTTTTAACCACTCTGTGACCCTGAATAACAACAAAGAAAGGATGTGATTTGACAGAAGGTTTGAGAAGAATTTGAGAAGAATTATGCATCCTAGTAACAAAGTTTGTGAAATGTAGCAAAGCTTGCTGTGAAGTGATGTTGCCTCATCAAAAGATAATGGGGACACAAAGAGGATGTCTTTAAAATGTCTTTAAAAACTCTTTTAAGCTAAACGTTTATTTTTGCTACTTATTTCTTCTGATTGCTTCATGTGTTAACTGCTTTCTTATAAAGGACATCAACCACTTTCTTCTATTTCCTGTAGATAAAGCATATTTATCTATTCCTGCCCCCCAATGATATGCCTCCCTGTGTGCTATAGGAAGACATATTAAGCATTATTGTTACTGTACACCAGTACTATAAATGTGCCTTCTTTGATCTCTGGAAAATCACATATACAGAGCAGTAAATTCTGGCATGATCATAGACTGTATATATAAAGGACATAGCTAACCTGCTAGCCACTGCGTTCCAAATAGGAAGTGACCATAGGGGGCGTTTCCAATTGACTTTACATTTAAACATTTTCACCCCTTTCTCTGTAACAGCTAGCCAGGCTGGCGCCACCTAGTGCCTCTGCTCAATTTAATTTCTCTCCAGTGACTAGGACAGGAATCGGAATACACTAGACAGTTCGCAAAAACCCCAGAAGTGTGAATTCAGGCACCAGCCAATGAGTGAAGAGCCATATATTCTGTGTTGTCAACGATTCCCGAGATCAAGGATTAAAAGCCAGAATAAAGAGAATGTTTGGTGAATTTTATCAAGGGGAAAGATGTTATTGCTCTTCTTCCTACGGAATTTGGGAAAAGCTTAATATACCAGTTAGCCTCTTAGTCTTAGTCTGTTCATATTAATTCGCTCTTCACGATCCTGCAGTTTTATTTTGCTATTTTGTCTGTAATTAAATTCAAATTCCTAATATGGAACATGGCTCCAAGTTTGCTTCTATAACTGCTAGCCTGACTTGAGCTGAACATGAGTGACGTCACACTTTCTTAGCCCGCTTCTTTATACAATCTATGGGCATGAATCTGATTTGGTAAATTCTGTTTACAGCTCTAATTTCACAAGGGTAGAATGTTTTTGACATATACTGTAGGTTGACTGAAACTGAAGTCATTTGGTGAACTGTTATAGCTTTATTACACAACATCACAACCTAATAAACAACTTCAGATTTTTCTTTCTAAAATCCATGACTTTGACAAAGGTGAGATTGGGAGTGAGTCATTCTTTTCACAGTTTGTCCCAGAGTTGATGTGAGTGTTGTTGGCTGACGTGCTGCCCTGTGTTGTGTTTGTATCCAGGTGCAGCAGGATGCGGGGCGGACTGCGAGCGTGTGCACTGGCGCCCCTGCTGGCCCTCCTTCTGCTTCACACTGTGGATTGCGGTAAGTCCTCATCAAACCATTGGCAGTCTCCATCACCACCCCACACCACTCCCACACACGTTACTCCAAATCCCCCAAACTTTCATCAGTCTACCTCGGCTCAAATGGGGCATGGCACTGTAGTGTAATTACAGTTAAAGCTGCAGCTATTACCGCTAATATCTTCCTCTATTATGCTCTGTGATTTATCGTTATCATTACTGCTAGAATTAAAGTATAATCACAATTTAGATCTGCAGTTGGAAAAGGTAGTTGTGCACCGCTTCTACAAATCAGATCTGCAAGTCAATCTTTCTCCTGTCACAAAGGATTAGCACATGCATAGGCTAAACTTTTGGCTTTTACTTTGTGGTGCACTTTGATGAGGGGATCGCTATTGGCTTGTCTCTGTGGAGATGTTAATGCTGTGCCTAGAATGTTCCACAGTATGACATCAAACTTATCTTGCATTTATTAGATTACATGTGTCTTTATTGCTAAAAAAGTCTGTTCTTATTGCCACAGACTTACCTCATGACAGTAACGGCCTCATGGCACCACATGCTCATCTATTCTATGCAAAGTCATAACATCCATGGAGACAAGCATAAATTGCAGAATATTTTGAGGTTTATTCTTTCAATTATGAGGTTTAAACTTTAAACTATATCAGTTCAACATTCAAATGTCAAATAGACTGCAATCATTACACAAGTTACATTGCTCTCAGTATTGTTTAACCTTATCTTTATCCTAACAACTCAAATTGTTGTTGTTTTTTTGATATGATAAATATTCTTATGTTATTTACCAATTTATATGAGAGCAAACTGTTTTTACTGGTTTCAGAAATCAACTATAGATCAAACTTTGCCCAGAGCCTGCATAATTTAAAAACAGTAATATGGTTTGATAAATCTCTGCAGTAGTTTGCCTTGGTGAATCCATCATAAGCTGCCTGTCACTTCCTTTCGCTCCTGTCCCAGTACAGTTTACTCAGCATCACATTCCTGTTTAGAGTGTTGGCCTGTGTGAGCTGTGCTTGTACTCCCCGCTGTGTGGCCATGTGTAGACCCGTGTTCTGGTGTGACCAATGGACAGAAGGCACACCTCCTCACAGACTGCAGTGGCCTCCCTGACCGTCTGCTGCTCTGCACTTTGTATCAGCTAAAAAATATAGATAACAAAAAAAATATCAATGTCTGGATCTTGTCGAGGGGATTTTGTGTGGCGGTGGGCTCAGAGGCGCAGTGATGATGAAAACCTTGTTCTGTTCTGTGTGCATACAAGCCCCGAGGTTACATCTGCCACAGAGTCTGCACAGCCAAGTTTACCAGGCATGGAAAACTGTTGTTGCCCACACAATCTCTGAAGACCGTCCAAGATAGTGTCATGCAAAATACTCATAATAACATCTCCAGTTTTGACTTACAATGATGTGTTATGGTGTTTTTGTGTTTTTTTTATGAGAGAAAATTTGTGAGAAATATTGCATTGCAGCAAAAAGACATTTCATTCTTAAAGTTGACATAGTAATGGTAGAATTTAAGTATTGTATAAAAAAAAAGGTAACTTATGATGGCTCGATTAACTGATCTGAAGACTTCTTTTGGTATCTGTCCAGGTCGCTGTGGTTAGTAGTTAAATAAAATAATGTATAAAATATTAATTAAAATATCTTAAACCAGGGATAGGCGGGAATGGAGATTGTTTCAGAATTCTGGAAATTAGGACATTGTCATAGTAAGTAACAATTTAAACATATTTTAAAAATCTTATCTCTTGACTGGTGAAAAAAATATGGCCTATGGCAAGAGGCTGAAACCCATTGATATCCCCCAAGAAATCTTGGTCAGAAGATTGTGGGAAGACAGGTTTAATATTAATGCTGATTGATATACTGCACAATATGCATTACTTTTTGCAAGTTGTTGTTGAAATCGGAAGGAGGTCTTTGTTGCTTAAGCGAGCCTCGTGACACATGCATTGACAGAGACTGGAGGAGGAGGCTAGTGGAGAGGGTTGAAATGTTTTGTATTTACCCATGTGTGTGCTATGTTGATAGGATTTTTGCAGCCTGTGTGTGTTTATTTATGAATTGGAGCTGTAGGCCGTGTGCCACTTGTGATAAATGTATCATTATGCTTCAGAAGGTGCAGATTAGTCACGGCAGCAGCAGCCTCAGGGGACACCCTCGTGTGACGGCCTAGGACGAGCCTGCTCCAGAGGGGACAGAGCTACAGCGGGGTGCTTCATATCTGTCAGAGGGACATGGAAGAGGCAAGAGGCACACTCAATATCAGGAAGCCTTTGATTGGGGAAAAAGGGTGGAAATATGTTTATCAAGAAAATGGCCACAGAATGTTTCACAGATGTGGGCTGCTGGAGGAGTTAGTAGTAGTTTGTTGTTTTAGTATGGCATTTGTGTTGATAATACTATACTGAAAATATGTTATGTTTTTTTTTACTTAAAGGTGTGCTTTGTAACTTTACCCATGAAGATAGGAAAGTCAAACTTCAAACTGCGGAACATTCCATTCCAAAGCAATAACTTTTCTATAACGACAAGCAGACTCTCCACTAGAGAAGTTCGTAGTACACCTTTAACTTTGAAGTATCGGTACTCCCACTCTGATTAAGTGCAAAACCCTTAAGTTAGCCTACAAAAAGATATCTGACACTTGTGTTTTTTGTACTTTATATTATTTACTTTTCCTAATTTATTTCTGGATTATTCTTAGAAGTTCTTCTGCATTTATATTTTATTTGTTAGATTACACCAACATAATTTTTCTGTACTGTAGAATAATGGACATAGCGCACCCGGTAGCCACATTCCAAGTAAGAAGTTTCCATGTCCATTGACTCTGTTCACAATTGACTTTATGTTGGAAAATTGTCACTCCTGTCTCTGTAACTGCTGCAGTTAATCTAATCATTTTGGTCTTAAAATGTTCATGTTCCTGCTCTACATGATCCTCGTGTTTTTATTTCACAATTTTGTACTTAAAAAAATCATATGCTTAATATGGATCTTCATTAAAAAAATATATTAGATAAATAGCCCTGGTATTACATGAATTATCCAGAGAATTCCGGAGCTGTTTCCACATGTAAACTGTTCATTCCTAAAGGACGTGTGATGTTGGCTCACCAAACGATGTCACACAAACAGAGGCAGGAAGCTCCAACGCAATGTGTGTCTGTGTTTGTGGGCCTCTGCTGATTGTCTATTTGCGTGTGCCTGTGTGTTTGGTCGGTTACATTTGAGATGACTTCCTGTTGAGGGGAACATAACTAGCACTGCAGTGAAAGCTGTGATCAAACACAGTGGAAAGAGAAGAAGAGAAACTAGTTCTCGCTCATTTAATTTACATTACACAGCACATAGCCTCAGATGTGTGCTTTGAAGAGGCCACCCCTAAAGCTGTGTGGATGTGTGCCCTGAACTCTGGCTCTTCTCACTGCTGTGCTGCTGTTGCCATGGTTATCCAAGCTGGGTTATTATCACACTTTGGTTTAGCCTTCTTCATTAGCATCAACAGAAATCACATAGGAGCAATTGGTTCTCTTTAGGGCATTCATAAAAAAAGAGAAGATCCCATGTGGTTTTAATAATGAAACTGAATACGGAAGAAGGTCACGTGAAACAAGGTGGTATTTATCTTTATTTTTGAGAACTAATCAAAAGAGCATAAGCCCTTTGCCCCCACATCAGTTTTTAAAACCGCTCAAGTTACATACCTACAATACATTTTCCTGTCGTGTGCATTTTCGTTAGTATGGTTTATATCTCAATCCATACACCACAGCAAAACAATAGTGACAAATAGTAAGCAATTTGTTTACGCATTGGCTCCAACAACAGCAACCCACTGTCTGTCCTTGTCCTGTGCTGAAATGTTTTATTCAACAGCAGAAGAAATCATTCTTCTCCACAGCTTCTCAAAGTTGGCTTTTTCATTTGTTTTCGTATTGAGTGCATCGGGGTTTCAGAGCATCCAGATAAGACTGTTTAGCTTTTGCTTGTGTTTGTCATACAATTTTTGATTGAGGTTGTCAATTTTTCTACACTCTGTACTTTATATGCATGGGACAAAGAAAGGTAAGGAGCTAAGTCTAACTTGGAGTCAAACTTCCTTATATGTTGTTCTTTTAGCTCTGTGGGGTTTTGTGTGGTAGAATATTTATTGAGAAAAATAATTGCTCAAAAATATTATTATATATACAGTATGTTGAAAGTTTGGGGCAAAGTTGGGACCCCGGACAACTTTGCAATAACATTTTACTGAAGGATTGGTGAAATGGCATTTTCAAGTACTTAACTGACCTGTGCATAGACAGCAAAACATCTTTTGACCGAACAGACTCTCCATGGGAGCCAAATCCAACTTGTATACTCATCCCAGATTTGCTTATTTTCCTTCTGCTGGTTCGCAGTGGCAAATGCGTGATGATCATTGTTAGCCCATCTGTCTCTGCTTTAGAGGTGTTCCCAAATTATTAAACACAGTCAGTGGGCCTTTATGCGACTGGCATTGAGCAGCTCACTGACATGAAGAGGGCGGTAATGGCATTTTCACTGTAATTGGAACACAATTGCAAACATCATTCCTTATTCTAGGGGTCTCTGTGGTGCGGTGAGGTTTTTACAAAGATAAAGGTCCACTTGTCTTCGCTGTATGCACATCTACAGTTCAGATCCAAATCACTGATGGAGTGCATCCTCTCCGTGGCCACCACTTCTAGTCCACTGACGATGCTCGGCTGGTGCAGAGGTGTGCGCAGGTCATAAATCAGAGTAGATGAGCTGTCTGACACGGGCCCGGGCCATCATTTGATCACTGTGTTAAGAAATGTCAACTGAGACGAAACAAACATCTGGACTTCAGTACACCAAGGTTGTATTTCACAAAAATCTTGTTGCTCTTAGTGGTGAAAGGCTTATACTAATTCTGATATAGGTTAAAACTATTCAGTAAAAGTCCAACTTTGTCCTTTATGTTGTTTTTTTCAGTATG